TAAAAAATAATAGTGGCACTGGCAATGAGGTTGCTATTGCAAATACCAACAGCACTGATCATAGTACTACTAAGAAGAGAAAGAGGAGGACAATGTATATATAACCACGTGCGCAGACACATGCTTGGCTGTCTGCAGCTATTCGTGGTTCGGGGAGGAAAAAGGCCCGCGCCCGCCCCCGCGCGCGCGTGTCCATACTGCATACTTTCCTTACCCATCGGGCGGCGGGGCGGCGTCGGCTGCATGGCCGCCGCGGGGCCGTCAGCGGCGCCACTCAAGATGTTGCTTGTTATAATGTATGATTGAAGCTGGTGGTTATAATGCCGCGTAAGTCGTTGCAATATCTACTCATGATGGTTATAATGTTGATTGTTGCTGGTGGTGGTGATGAGGAGAATGATAATCAATGGTGCTGGTGACGATGGTGGTGACGGAGGTGATGGTGATGGTAATGTTGAGGGTGCTAGATGTGGTGATGATGGTATATTGGTGAAGGTGGTCATGAGTTGGCGGGGATTGTGGTGAGGACGACGGCGACGGACGATGATAACGACGATGTCGACGATGCCGATGGCCATGGTCATCCCTTCTTGCTCCGACGATCGCTCGCGCCGTCGGTCTCCTGCAGCCGTGTCGGTGCCAGTGCGGCCGCCACTGCGGCCTGTTGCTCCCTGGTCGGCGTCCTCAAGGTATCCCTGGCGGTGGTTCTATCGCATAGGCTTCCTGGTTATAGGCGCGCAAGCATCTCCTGGACTAGTCCTTCTCTCGCTGCTCCGCCGGCCAGTCGCTGACGGGGAAGTCCACGTCGTCGTCGCGTGGTCTTGGAATGCCCTGCGAGTCGAAGTCCACGTCCTCGCCGTCTTGGAGCGCCTGGTGGTACTTCGACCATAAGCTCAGCTGTCTTTCGTAATAGCGGGAGACTGGATTCTGAGGACCGTTCGTCACGGTGGCTAAGATGATCCTTGCGGCCTCATACGTATCAAACTCATACGTCTCCCATTCCTCAACCCCTGCGGCAGTCATGGCGCCGTCCACTACGGCCAGGCGCGCCGCTGCGACCATGCGACCCTGCGCCGCTGGCGCCCTCGCGCAGGCACTGTGCATGAACTCGATGTGCACCGCATTGTGCCACGCAAGCTGGGCTTCTTGCAGTCGCTGCTCGGCATCGAGCGTGCGCTGCCTTGCATGCATCACTGCACCTGTCGCACGGAGCACCTCCGTGCGACCGATAGGCGAGCGCATCTCGCGCAAGGCGCGCGCGTACGACTCAGGCGGCAAGCCGTCGTGCGACCAGTACGGCGTTCGCCCATCTCGGTTGGCATGGTAAGCCTCACGGTCGCGCGTGCTCTCCCACCACTGCGTCCAGCGCCCATCATCGACGAACCCGTGCCCCAGCGATGCGGCTTCCCGCTCCGATTCCGCGGCCTCGATTACGCTTGCCACGTAGGAGTCCTCTCAGTCTCGTGCATCGTCAAACTCTGGAGCCGCCGCTGCGGCTTCGTCCTCGGTGACGGGACTAAGCGTAACTTCGCCCTCGGTGACTGGACTGAGCGGAACTCGGCGCCCGCCGCTGCGGACATTTTGGAATGTAGCTGTGGTGGCGACCAACCACCTCGCGAGCAGCTCGCCCAACTCGGCCCCGCCCACAAGGAAGATGATGTAGAAATCTCCCGTACGGCCCGCGACGCGCGTGGCCGCCAGGAAACGAGCCAGGCGCTTGCGGTCGATGTGTTCTATGCCGTTGATCGAGGCCTCGCGGCGGCATGCATCGCAAATGGGGCCCATTCCACATTCCAGCGTCGCGTCAGGAATGTGGAATGGGACAGCATGCTCGCGGTCGCAGTAGATGGACATGCTGTCGTCGGGCAGGCTGCCCATGTGTCTTTGCCAGCAGGCAGCTTCGGCTGCGGTCCGCCACTGCAGACCTCCCTAGGAGGCGGCCGCCTGGCCGGTGAGCGCGGGCGCGCGGTGGCGCGGTGGCGCCGCTGAACTGTCAGCGGCTGCGTGCACATATGTTCACACATGCACTGACGCATGCAATAATTATGGCAATAATTATGACAGGTGTGCTCATTTGTGTGTGACCTCGTGTATATATATATATGTATATATATGACTACACATAATTATGTACTAGTCGTTAAAACAAGTACATCTGATCGTCTACTTTGTAAATACCGAAGCATGTGATCATATACCACCATTAATTAGTCTACCAGATACCTTTTGGGCAGTGGTGACAATGACAACGGCGGCGACAGGATATGCTTCTTTTCCCAGCGGGGTCGCGCCACTCTAAGCGCTCCGGCGCGAGCCCGCCCCTTGGCGCCAGCCGCCACTGCGGCCCTTCTTCTTCTGATGCGCCCTCCTCCAGCTGCGTCGCTGCTCGCTGGCAGTCTGCCTCGATCCACGTCCCTGGCGGCCGTGGCCTATGAAGATCATGTTCTGGTGAATGCCGTGGAGCCAATGCGAGACGAAGGTGTCGTCCCTGAGCCGCTTGGAGACCACCTTCCCCAGGTTCGGAAGCGGGCGCAAGCCGTAGTGCGTGCTCTGGAAGAAGTTCTGCCTTGTCTCCGTCAACCTTGCGATGCGGTGTGCCTCGACTGGATCCTCTGGATGCGTGCCCTCTTCGAGCTGTTCGGGGCACTCGGTGTAAGCAGTGCGCCACTGCGTACTCGCCACCGGCATGTCGCCCCACTGCGGCAGGGAGCTGCAACTGAAACGCTCGAGCCAGCTGCTTCGGAACTCGATCGGGGCCCCCGAGGCGACAGGCTGGAGCCACTCTGGCACCAGCGCCGCCACCTGCCCTTCTTCCTCTCCGTAGACGGGGTGCTGCGGGTCGCGCGTGCCGAGCACGGGTGCAAAGTTGTGGTGGATGGTATAATCAAACACGCCAGGCCCCCAGTCTTTGCGGAAGACGGCGTGGAAGGGCTTGTCCCCCGCGGCGAGGCCGCAACTGAAGCCTATGCGATGCGAGGTGCGTTCGTCGCAGTCGAAGAACCCAGTGAAGACGCGCGCGCTGCAGCGCAGCAGGCCCTCGATGATGTCCGCGCAGAAGTTCTCGGACCACTTGGAATGAGGGCCGTGGCGGGGGCCGTCGCTACGGCCACGGGCGAACCTGTAGCGGGCAGGCACGGCCATTCTGAAATGCGCGCCAGGGTTCCGGCTGGACTCGCGCAGGGCGACGTCGAAAATCGTCGCGACGTGCGCGTCGTCTGTGGCGCACGTGTTTTCCTGCTGCATAACTTTTGACGTCTCGACGACGCGGGGTTGGTAGAGCACGATTCCTGTCCTCTCTTTGAGGTCAACTAATTCCCAGTAGTTGTCGTCAGCTCGTCTGCTCATGGTCGCTACCACGCCCGCCGCTGCGTCCTCCAATTGTGATTTCAGTTCTGCGTGCCTACGCAACACTTCCCTCGCTTCCGCGTCGCGCGTCTGCGGGTGGTCGAGGAGCAGCGGGCACCAGATGGGCGCGAGGATGTTCGCTGGGCTATCGAGCAGTTTCTCGACATCTTCCACTGCGGCCGCGGCCGTCACTACGGCCGTGAGATAGGTAAACGATGGATCCGCAGGGGCTCGCCGATGCGGACTCTGATCCGGTGCTCGCCAGTCAGCGCGCGCGCGCAGCAGCGGAGCGCCGCGCTCCACGAAGTCGCCGAAATTGCCCCTGCCGTCCTCCACTTGGATCCAAGCTCTACTTCTCTGGTCCGTCAAACGCGCGTCGGCCACCTCCGCCGTCCACGGAGGATGCGCTCGCGTCGACGCGAGGGCGCTGTATGCCTCCCGTTTCGGCGCGGGTGGTGCGCAGCTGCTCGGCTTCGGCGTCGTGTGCAGTGGGGCTTCGTACTTCGGGGGTTCGTCAGGCTGCCGCGGCCCTCTTTTTGCCTGCGGTTCCAAGCGTGCCTTTTTCTTTGGCGGCTCTGCCGCGGCAGCAAGTGTGCCTTCGGAACCTGCGTCTGCTCGGAAGGCTTGCATTTCGCCCTCGGCAACAGCTGCACTTTTGGTTCCCTGAGCGCCGCCACTGCGGACTTGGGAGGCGCTGCGGGGCTCACGGAAGGAACTGCGCGGGGGGGGGCGCGCGGGGCCCCGGGGGGTCTTGCTTTTGACCGAGGAGCCGATAAGTCGTCTGACTCGCTCAAATCCACAGCCCCCGAAGGTCTTGCTTTCGGTGGCGGCTTTGGCAAGGACTCCATCAGCGCTGTTGCCGCTTGCTTCGCTCCTGCCGCCCTCTTGGCAAACCCGATCGCAAGTGTCGCCGTCGCAGGCGCGCCTCCCGCCATCGACCACGCGGTCGCAGGTGCGCCCCCCGCCTTCGTCGCGATCCCAGGTGCATCTGGCGCAGCTTCGCTGGGCGAGCCAGACGAGTCACTCGTAGTCGAACTTTCGTCGGACGCGGCCCTTGGGGGGGCGCGCAGAACTGCGTTTCCGGAAGCTGTCGCGTCTGCAGGCGCGCCTGGGCCTTCGCTGGAGGCCGCCGCTGCAGCCTTGCTGCCTGCGGCGTCCCAGGGCACCATCGTTGAGGCCGTTGGGCCCGCCCCTTGAGCCAAAGGGGGGCGCGCGGCCAGCTGTTGGAGCCGCGCGCGCGGTCGAGGTGGGGACGTGACAGGCAAGATGGCAGACGCCATCGTTAATCATCATCCTTGTCATCACCGATGTCATCGGAGTCGATATCGCCACCGTCATCACCAACGTCATCGCGATCACCATCGTCATCATCATTATCACCATCGCCATCGTTATCATCATCGCCATCACCATCGTCATTCATGAACGTCATCGTTCTCATCATCGCCATCGTTTCATCGTCATCATCATCGTCACCAGCGTCATCGTGGTCGTTGTTATCTGATGGTGGCGGAGATGATGACGGCGATGTCGACACGAATTAATTCGTTGACACGATTTAATTCGTCGCAAAGCTTCCGAAAAAGGCAGCGGCGGAAGCTGGTCTGCGATTCCTACAACCGGTGGCCGCCGCTGCGGCCTGCGCTGCCGCCGTATCACTGGTTGCGGCCCGACTGGTAGCCCAAGTCGCCTGGAGGCGTCCCGTTGCCGCGCTCCCTGTCGAACCTGCCAGTCCCCGCCCTGTCGAGGTGCTTGTAGCACTGGTACGTGCCAGCGCCATTACTGCCGCCGCAGCCATCCCTGGGTGGAGGCACGGTAGATGCGCGCGGGTCCGCCTCGCACAGGTCGAATTCCTTGGTTTTCCAGTCGGGGTGGAAGCGGACAACCGACAAGTCCCTGCGGTAGACCGCGAAGTCGTAGTTGTCCTGGTGTTCGCCGCGTTTGTCGCCCCGTGGTGCCAGGGAGCGAAGCAGCGTTGGTGGTCGTAGCTTTTGGGGCGGGCGGACACCACGCGCCGAACGAGGCCGCCACTGCAGCCATCAGGCCCGTTGACCACCTGCGCCCTAGTTTCTGGACTCATCTGAGCGATCATCTCCAGCCAGGTCAACGAGACTTCCTCGCCGCCCCAGAAGTCGATCTGCACGGTTGCCTCACAGACGACATCTCCTCCTGTGGTTTCGGCCGCACGGCGCAGCCACTTCAGCGCAGCGTTGCGCTGGCGGTGCGAGGCCGTGATCGGGCGACTTTCGAAAACACGTAGGTCGACCGCCCTTGCGGGCGCCGCCACTGCGGCACTCTCTTGCCCGACCTCGGCGACAGGGGCTCTGTCTCGCGAGCGCTCCCTGGGCATCTCTGCGGGCGGTGGGGGCCCCCAGAGGCGCAACTGCATTGGGCGTTGCGGCGGGGCTGCGTCGCGCTCAGGGGCGGCACCTGGGGGGGGGCCGGCGGCTGCGGTCCTGCCGTTGGCGGCGGCGCTGCCGCTGCCGGTTCGAGGGTCGATGTCCAAGGGCTTGAGGGGCCGTCCGTGGGCGACGGGCGGGCCGCCGCTGCGGCCTGGACTGGACTGGCCTGGCGGCGTCGAAGTCCGCGTTCGCCCCTCAGCTGCTCGAGCGGGCAGTGGTTCACTGCCCCACGAGCAGGCTCCCCCTCGCGCTCGGCCTCCTGTCGCGCAACCCACCAGTCTCGCGTCTCCCACCGCCCGTTGTCCCAGCCCTTCCAGCTGTCCCAGCCGCTCCGCGGGCCACCCCACCACTTCCCCTCCTCCTGGCCGCCACTGCGGCCCTCTTGCGCCCAATCGTCCGAGTCCTCCTCGGCCGCCGCTGCGGCCTCCTGGCCGCCACTGCGGCCTGCGCGCGCCCTGGGCGCGTCGTCTTCCGCCGCCATCTCGCGGCCCTCGGCCGCGGAGGCGAGGTCTGGGCCGAGTGGCCGCGGGCGCCTAGCGGACAGGGACCGCTGGCGCCGACTGCGGTCCGCATGGGCCTGGGCGAGCGCCGCGCGGGGGCCCGCCGCGGAGCTCGTGGCTTGAGCTTGCTCGGTGGGGAAAAGCAAGAGGCAAGAGGAAGAGAAGGGAAACATAAGACGGGGAGACGGAGCGAGAAGGCGAGAACCGAAATAAGAAGAGAGTAAGGGATATATATATATATATATACATTCACTAAACTGCGTGGCCAAGGAGGCTACATACTGACCCACAGTCTGAGACCACGGAGCAGAAACAAACTTGAGCACAATGGGCGATGGATCGAAAAGGACCTGGCCACGACTCATGCCGCAAAGAAACATCAGTGATTGCTGCAATCTTTACATTAACTAAACTGCGTGGCCAAGGAGGCTACATACGGACCCACAGTCTGAGACCACTTGAGAGCCTGAAGGACCTCCAGAGCTACTCCTTTTCTCGGGACCGTGCGCAGCCAGCGCGCGCTTGGATCTGCAAAACACAAGCTCGGAGCGCTTGCCAGAACCACGATCGCTGCGAGCGCGACCGAAACAGTCACTTCACGTAACAGTTGCAATATACCTTGCATTAGACCAAAGGGCTGGTTGGCGGAGGGCCGCGAGCAGGCGACTGGACAGAGTGGCAGCGGCGGTCGAGGCGAGGCGCTGATCGCCTGGCTGCAACCTTTGAAACACAGCGTGCAGGCGAGCGTGTTTCTCGTATCTAGATACACTGCGATGGTCGGCCCTGTATACGTCCGTCGACGGACCACCGTGGCGCAAGCAGTGGGGTGACAGACGGAGGTGCGATATGCCGAGCCGCTCAACCGAATCCTTGAAACATTGCTCGAACTCTCGAAGCCCGAAGGGAAATATGAAATGATCACACTGGATGTGAGGGAAAATGATCGCAAGAGCTCGAGCGATCCACTCGCGTCCAGCGACCTCGCCGACCACGATGCTGTCATCGTAGGCGCTGGTCTTCGAGGGCTGGCCTGAATCAGCTGGAGACAGACGGAGGCACCAACGATCATAACACTCGTGAGCTGCAGCAGCCGGTGACATGACGTTAGAGCGGCGCAGTGTGCATCCTACGCCAGGCCGCAGATAACAGTCGAAACACAGGACGACTAAAAAAGCGGCTAGCGCCAGACCTTGCTGGAGCATGTCGTCAGCGATCCACCACGCAATCTCGAGAGGGGCTGGATCGCGCGCCCCGCCCGGCTCAAGGTTTCGCCATCCAGCGAGCGCGGCGCGGCTCCTGATGTAGAGCCTCCGAGGCATCTCAGGATGGCACCACGCGAAGCCATGCAGGGCGGAGCGGGCTACTGACTGCGGCTCTCCACTCAAGAACAACTGCTCCATGAACCTCTCAAGCGCCACCTCAACGTGATCAGCGGTGTCCAACGGCAGCCCACTGCGGCGGGCGAAGGCAACGAACTTGTTGTTGGCCTCCGTGTAGGCCTGGCGGGCCCCTGCCGACCGGATCGTGTGAGCCCTCAGAAACCCTGGTCCTCCTTCCGCTCCGAGACGTTGAGCACGCGCAGCGGCAAGTTGGGCCCGTGCCCCAGGCGCCTGTCGCCCCGGCCCAGGGCGAGGTCCAGCGACGCGGGAGGTGGCTGAGCTCGAGCCGCGGCCGTTGGAGACCGGCCCCAGCGTCTTGGCGCAGCTCCTCTTGCCAGGCATCCGACAGCCTGGCCTCGCCTGGCGCGCGCTCCGCTCCCCTCGGAGCGGCGCAGCGCGCGGCCCACGCCCACGATCGGCGCAGCTGGGGAGCGTGCGAGGCTGCAAGACTGGTCTTCCACTTCCAACAATGATGTCCGTCTTGAGCCGATAGTCTTACTTTCCCCTGAAGGATCTCGTGAGGCTCCCGAAATTCACGCTTCAGACTCAGGCTATTCAAGGAATCACAATTAGTCGATAGCAGGGTCGGCTTCTTGCACGAACAACCGTATCGACAACAATCATACTCGACAAAGAACGCGTCCGCATATTTCAGAGCCTTCTGGATCTCGGTTTGCCTAAACAGAGACGAGGTCTTGGGGTTCTCGAGGGAGAAGTATACTTCAGATCCGCGCAGAGCTTGATCAACTTTGCAGTGAACCGAACGTGCTCCCGAGACGCCCTCACCGACGATTTTGTAGGCCGAGACTTTCTCGCAATACTCCAAGGGGTACACGGCGTTCCAGGATGTAAATACCAGATGCGGCCCTCGGTGAGCCACCTGACCACGACGTCCTGGACTCCCCGCTTCTCGAGATTGAACTCCGGACCCTCGGCGATATCGAACGGCACGGACACCCTGAGGCCCACCTCGGCCATCCCAGAAGTCAGAGCCCCACAACCGGAGTAGAGCTCCAAGAAGGCTGGCGCGAAGCGTCTCGAAGAACGTGGCAAAGGCGGCGGACGAGACGAAGACAGCTGAGCACTCACCTCCCTGCCTGACTGACATGACGATGCAGACCGAGAGGTGCTCTTTTTCAGATCCAGTGAATCTCCTGCAGGCGGCATTGCTCCCCGAGATCGGGGAGGACGTCGGACATCGGGCTTGTCGCCCCGAAGCCGGCGAAAGAGAGCTGACGAGGCCGAGCAGCGCGGAGGGCCCCGAGAGGTTGTGGCAACATGATGTGTTTCGTCGTCGAAACGTCTCGATCCCTCGTCTGCGGGATTTCGTTCGGATTCGATGTGTCGGAGCCTCAGGTCGATGCCGCGTCCAATCGAGTAGGCGGCGCACCTGCGGGCTAAGGCAAGCAGGCCGAAGTCTCTAGCTCGGCCCTTCTCGAGACAGCACAGCGACGAGAGGTTATCAGACAGCCCGAGGAGTCGACGTCCATGACCTGAACGAGTGTAGGACTCTCTGCGGAGCGCCATCAGAATCACCCTCCCCTCCTTCATATGGATGGCCTCGTCCCTCTTCCATCTCCCCTCGAATAAAGTACGCCAGCGACCAGGCTCGACAACGCTCTCGGGGAGGATCGGGACCATGCCAACTATCTCCTTCTGCTCTAGCTGTCTACGTTCTTTACTTCGTAGTTCACAGACTCCCGAGCGAAAACCCCCCGACTCCAGAACGCCCGAAGACGGGGTGGGTATCCCGGCAGACTCCAGAAGCCACCGCGAATATGACGTGTCAGGCACCTCGAGATCAGCAGACCAGCCAGGGTTCGGGGGCGGCAGGTTCCCAGAGGCCTTCAAGATGTCCCCGCGATCCCCCTCCACCTCCACGAACCGCCAACGCTCCTTCCACTTCGTAAGCTTTCGGAACTCCTCGGGGCCCATGGGGGTGTCCATGACGGCGTATCCCTTCCCTGACGCGTCTCCACAGTAGGCTCGATCCGATGGCGGAACAGACAGCCGTGCCTCTGCCAAGAAAACGAGCCCCGCCATCAGGCGGAACTCACGCCTCACCTGACCAGGTAGCTCACATGTACGTCCGAGGCTGTCGTTCACAAACCGATAGGCGTGGGCAAAGACAGACATCGCCGGCCTCAGGAGGACAAGGTAGTGGATGCAATGACCCAGCAAAACACGAACTGCCTCTCCGGTCACCCGACGCAACTTCAAAATATACTTTATTCCAAGATACAGCCGCCAAGCCCTCTCTGACTTGTGACGAATGCTGCACCTGCTCTTGTCTATCGCAATGCCCACATTCTCGACAAGCAGTGCGTCCCCGCCCTCCTCGTGCAACGTGAACCCCACGCTCTCAAGCTCCCTTTTGATCGCTGCGTAGTCTGACGAAACCTCGGAGCTCGAGAGGCCCACAGTGGCAAGGTTATCCACAAAGACACTCGAGACAGGACCAAATCGAAGATCAGGAGCAGGGAGCCCCTCTTGCACTAACCGGTGCTTCCCCCCGATCGCCACAGAGGTGAAGTGCTTCGCCGAGGTGGTGCAGAAGTGCAGAGCCCAAGACCAGCCTTGCGGCATCCCAAGAAAGACAGGAAACACTTTCTCCGTGGGCCGGGCGGGGCGAAGCCTTCCGAGATCGTTGTCGAAGATCTGCGGGAAGCCGAACTCGGAGCACCGGATGGGGTAGTCTAGGCCGAACCACTCAGCCATCGACTCAACGGAAAACTGGTAGAAGGCGTCCTCCACGTCACCTACGCAGACGGAGAGGTTCGGGATCTCGGCGATCGGGCCACACCCCTGCGCCAAGCTAGCGAGCTCGTCCTGGTCAAGCCAGCCGTCGAGCTGCGAGAGGGCGCCGGCTCCGCCTAATCTAATCTTCAGCGGCAAGCGGTGGTGGCCGTTCGGCATCCTGGCGCCCACGATAAGCCTGATCCCACGGCGAGACGACTTCCACACAAAGAATATCCCCACCTTCGCCTTGATACGAGTTCTGAACCCCAAGGGCCCCTCGTCATAGAGCTTGCGATAGAGGTCGAGCCGCGCAGACCGATTTTGTCGCAAGTGGGGGTCCCAGTAAGGCCTGAAGGTCGGGTGCTCCTCATCCCAGGCATCGACCTCGGGTTGCGAGCGGACGAGGTACCTATCAGGATCAATCAAGAACGCCGCCTCCTCAGGCGGCAGCAGGTCGACGGCGGGCTTTGGCACCGTCTTGCCCTTCACGATCTTCAGAAGATCGGGCTGATACGGGGCGAGGTTCTTCTCGCCAACGCAGTGCAAGTCATTCGCCTTGAGAAGCCCCCAGAAAGCTTCCCGAGCAGTCATCCCACCGCGCATCGGCCCATAACTACCAACGACGTCTCGAACACGATTCATCACAGCTGTCTGGGTGAAGGAGAGGCGCGGCGGTGACGAAGTCCCGAACCAAGCACCTCCAGAACGAATCGAGGAGGCAGAAGAAGCAGCCAATGTGTTGAGGCTGCGCACCGCTTCGGCAACTCTGAGCTGTCTGCTTCTTCGAACAGTCAAGCCAGGCGCTTCGCGGCGTGGAGGGGGCCCACGATCACCACGTCCAGCAACAGAAGGCACTGGCAGCGGGAACTGATCACCATGCTTGGGCCCACCTCCTCTGTCCAAAAACTCCCCACTTAGTACTCGGGAGGCTCGGCAGGGAAGTGTCTCATCCTTGCCTCCCGGAGCCGTGGCGGTCATGATGCCTGCCCCTCTTGCTGGCCTGCAGGAGAGGCTTTCGTCTTCGCCTTGGCCTTGGGATTTGGAAGCCCATCTCGATTGTCAGTTCGTCGACGCTCGGCGGCCAGCTCCTCGCGCACTTCCGTTGGGCCTCCATCGTCTTGGCCTCCTCCTTCTGCTTGTTGCTGAGCCAGGAGTCGAAACTGCGCAGGCGGGCCCCGCCGATCTCGTCGCAAGACCCGATGGCGCCGATGTCCAGGCCCGCGAAGTTCGGATGCTTCGGGTTCCGACGGATGGCCTGCTGGATTTCGTGAATTCTGCGCACGGCCTGCTCGATGCAAGCCAGGTTGGTCGGATCGATTGGGTCGTAGCTGATCCCGAGCCTCACGATCTGGACCAGATTCCGAAGCTCGCGCGCCACCGACGAGTTCTCGCTGACCCCAGACTTGCGCATGAACGCGTTGAGCCACACCTGCAAGTCTCCGCCGTTCTCGAGCACCGACTCGAGGAACTCCTGGGTCGCCTTCGGTCCAGGATGAGGCCAGTCTGCGAACGTCTTGGGCGTCACGAGCTCCATCGCCTTCGACAGCGGCAGCACTCGCCTCTGCGCAGAGTTCAAGAAGTGGCCGAGCAGTCACAGGTCCCCCGGAGCTCCACCAGGCAGCCCAGGCCGCTTCCGAGCGAACCAGGCGTCGTGGTCCGAGTCCTTCACTAGCTCGACCAGTTGGGTGATGCCGCTGATAAGTGCCAACCGCTGAACCTTGATACCATCGTCACGATCATCTGTCGAGTCGGCGAGCTCAGCAGCAGTGATGACCTGATCAAACTCAGCCGACGACGGATCCGCCACACGCCAGCTAGAGCCTGCCACGCCAGCCGCGCCTGGTGCAGGAGCCACGCCCAGCACCTCCGCGATCCCTCGCGCCTGCTCTCGCATGGTGGCGATCCGAGCAGGAGCTCGCTGTGGCCCCCGAAACACGTACATCATGCCCGCCAGGTCCACTGGGAAGGCCCCATTCCGAGCCAGCGGCCGCACCTCGACCCCATTGAAGTCCTTCTCGTAGACATCACCGTCTGGGGTCCCTATGATCCAGCGACCCGCGGCCACCTTCGTGAACAAGACACGGTGATGGTAGTGCAGCCCAGCCGCGTCGTCTTCGTAGTAGTCGAGTATCTGCAGCTCGTCCACATCTAAAGTCCGATTGACCGCCGCCATGCCTCCACCTCTTCACGAAACGCTGGTCCCTGCAAGGCAGCAGGCGTGGATGACCGCGCCACTCGGCGACGTCCACCGCACCTCCCAAGCACGTAGCCGAGGAGCAGGCACAAGAAGCTAAAGCTCACAGCGAACTCCAGGGGCACCGTCCGCCCGCCGCTCGGCGGGCCTGCAAGGGGTGACGCTTCGCCCGAGCAATCCGGGCAAGGCGGTGCTGCAGCGCAAGTGCAGGCTGGCGCCGCGGGGCACACCAAGGGGCGCCCGACCGCCTGCCTGACGATGTCGAACACGGGCTCGCAGACCTCCGCCGCGGCGGGCGGAGCGGGGCAGGTGCACTCGCACCTGGTCGGCGCGAGCGCGTCCCTGGTGAGCGTGTAAACGAAGTGGGTGGCCGAAGAGTAGGAGAAGGCCCACTCGAACATGTGTTGCTGAACTCTTCAGCCGAAAAAACTTGAGCACAATGGGCGATGGATCGAAAGGACCTGGCCACGACTCATGCCGCAAAGAAACATCAGTGATTGCTGCAATATATAGAGAAAGGGAGAGAGAAATAGAGAGAGAGAGAGAGAGAGAAAGAGACAGACAGAAAGAGAGAGTGAGTGAAATATATATACAGAGAGAGAGAGAGAGAAGATATAGAGTGGAGAAAAACATAATTATATAGAGAGAGATAGAAAGAGAGAGAGAGAGATAGACAACAAAAAGAAGGGAGAGAGAGACACAGAGAGCGAGAAAGAGAGAGAGAGAGAAGGAGAGAGAGAGAGAGAAAAACAAAAAAAAAAAAAAAAAAAAAAAACCCACACACGCACACACACATTCGTATGATAACAACTGACACCGATAAAAAGCGAGAGAATGATATTGAGAGCGTGCGATATATATATATACATAGAGAGAGAGAGAGAGAGAGAGAGAGAGAGAGCGAGAAAGAGAGAGAGAGAGAGAGAGAGAGCGAAAGAGACAGAGCGAGTGAAAAAGAAAGCGAAAACAATCAAAACAATGATGAGACCATACCAATTGAATTACAGCAGGGCATCAGCGCGTGATCACGAACACCTTGTGAGAAGAAGAACAAAAAGCAAATCACACAGGGGTGACACGTGTCACGCCGACATGGGGGATTCAATTTGGCACCACACAAGATGTGAAACTACAACTATTTCAATACATTCATCCTCTGGACGCCAACATGGGGGACGTAAAACCACACTGGGGTGACACACGTCACACACAACACCGTGTGAGCAAAACTCTTTTTTTTTCCACTACTAGGTTTGCAAGACACATTGGGGGAAATGCGTGTCACCCTAATGGTTTGCTCGCACTTTAGACGCAACCATGGGGCCATAAAATGTGAAACCAAACGGGGTGAAATGTGTCACCGCGAAGACTGCGTACGAACCTACCACATGTTTACTATATTCCTGGGCGCTGAGAAGCAAACGAAAGTGCGCATACGAGAAACACGAAAGTGCGCAGACGAACAACACATCAAAACACATTATAGAAAAAAAGCTTTAATACCTATTGAGAATGAGAAAGACAGACCGAGACAGAGAGACAGAAACAGAGAGACCATGGTCCGATCTCAAAAAAAACATACCCTTTTCGCATTCCGAGGGTTGGGAGGTGCAGAACCCCAGGAGCGCTGCAACGGCTGCTGCAGCCGTTGCAGAACCGCCAGGGGGGTGCGCATAAAATTTGAAATTCAAAATTTTATTAGGGCTTTTGGATTACGAGGACCAAGAGACGCTGAAGAACACCATGGCTCCCATCGGCGAGCGGTGACGCAACAAGCTCTTGACACCAAGGCTCCCCAGAGCGCGGTGACGTACGAAGCTCGTCACACCACGGCTCCCAAGAGGGAGCGGCAAAGTAAGAGTTTCTAGATACGAGAGCTCCCAACGGAGAGCGACGACGTAACAAGCTCTTCACACCAAGGCTCCCAAGAGCGAAGGGTGCCACGAGCCCTCTCGGGCAAGTTCCTGAAGGGAATTTTGAGCCTCAGCTCTTTCCTCCTCCTTCTATCCTCCCCGCGGCCGCGCCAGGCTCAAGCTTCCTGTGAGGACGTCCTCTTCCCTCTTTCTCCGACCTCCTGTTTCCGGGGTCGCAAGCTCCGCTGTCTCTCGCACTGTTTCGGGACAAGCCGAAACCGCCTTGGGTCCCTCTTGGGACGTCTGGGGGCCCTCTGCGACCGTTTTCCGCCCCTTTGGGGTGCCTCTGGGGCCATCTTGGGACGATCTGGGCCCGTCTGGGGGCCCTCTTGGACCGTTTCAGGCTCCTATGGGGGGCCTGTGGGGCTGTCTGGGGACGATATTTGGGGCCTCTTGGGCCGTCTGGCGCCGTTCTGGACCCGCAAAAAACGAGAACCACGGTTTCAGCGCGCTGAGGGACGCGGACACCATCGTCGCATCCTAGGCGCCGCTTAACGTCAATGCCAAGGTGGAGGTGCGCCTGACGGAGGCGCGACTGCCGGGCCTGGCGAAAGGGGGGGATAGCAAAAGGGGGGTTTGAGAATCAGCTTACGTAGCTGATTTTCCCGGCGCATCCCGGCGCCGGAGGCGGCCATGTATCAAAGAATGGGCCTTTCGGTGGGGCAGACACCAACTGCATGCAGCAAATTTCGTACCCCCCCTTTCCCTATCCCCCCCTTTCGTCCAGCCCGAGACTGGGAGGCAGCAAACATGACCCCGTCATGACTGTTCCTGACGGTTGCGCCAGCCCGCAGCAATTGCGGGACGAGCTCACTGCTATCCACAGCCGACCCGGCAACTGGCACTGGGGCACGCGGACGGGCGTGCAGAGTGTCGCACAAGAAGGCGGGGGAGGAGGTAGGAGAAGCATCGATCGATCGATCGAGCTCTCGGGCCAGTTCGGTTCTACGCCCCCATCGACTAGAGCTGAGTTGCATTCAAAAATGTAGTATGGCATGGCTGTGTTCGCTTCGTGGAAAAGGGGGTCGCTGACGCCATGCGGCGCCCTGGCCCTACCTGCACCGACCTCCCCACGCAGGGGTCGAGGGAAGAGAGGGGGGGGGGCCTTCTCTGCTCCAAAGCTGGCTCCTGACTCCGAAGGGACTCCCCCTCCTGCCTCGTCCAGCTCTGGCCAGCCCTTCCCCGGCCCCGCCCCGAGGAGGAGGTGCGAGCCGCAGAGCACGCGGGCCGCCGCGGCGCGCCTGCAGCTCCCGGGTGGACACTCCCCGGAGGCGTACCTCCTCCGCGGGGCCGCCGCTACCCGAGTACTCCACGACCAAGCCGTCGCCGAGCACCTCTGCGGGGGCGGCGCTCGTGCACCGCACCGTCAGAGCTGAGAGTGAGGATGCGCGATGAACATTTCTGGTCTGCGGGGCGAAAGCGAACCTCTTCCGGTACAAGCATCACCCGGGTGACTCCAACCTAAGACCCATGGAGGCCCAACCGGAAAGAAAAAAAAAATGGGGCGCGCCGAAGAACCCAGGGGGTCCGGTTTCCGCGGAGGAAAGAAAAAAAACCTGGCGATGGGGTTCGAGCACGGGGGTTACCCCCCCCTCAAATTCCGGAAGAGGAATGAACTCCCAGCCGCGGGGGTGCCCGCGCGAGGGGTCCCACCCCCCCAAGCGCAACCAGAGGAAGAAAAGCGTGAGAGCCGAGACTGTAAGTGCAATGCAACAACACCTTAATCGCGGTTGCACTAGGGAATTGTACTAGCACTCGGAACTTGGATCAGAGAGTTGTTATAATACCACTTAAACCGGGGAATTGTACGGGGGAGTTGTGCTCGGGAGTTGTACCATGGAGTTGTACTAGTACTGGGGATTGGCGATAGGGCGTTGTTCTAGGGGGCACAATTTTACCAGCTGTAATATGATACCAGCTGCACTCGAATATTTGCACGGCAGGACAACGTGCTCTCTAGGAACAACTGCGCGATAGGACATGATAGTACCAGTTGTACTCAAGTGCGAGTTGTACGGTAGTCGGAGGGGTTCAGGGGTTCCAACAGCAACGCGCGCGGGGAAGAAGGAAAGAAATCCATGCGCCGCCAGGGGTCCCGGGTTTAACGGGTCGCCGCGAAGGTTGACCCCCCGCGGAAAGAAGAAAAGAAATCCGGCCGGGGGGTTGGGGGGTTGAGGGATGAGTCACGGGGGCGATGTACAAGCTAGGCGGGCTACGCACAGCTCTAGTTGGGGAGACGCGCGATGAACATGCAGGCCCCTCTGGACGCCCATGTTGAACTTTCGAGCGGGGCTGTCCATCGAAAGTGGCCAGAAGGTGGGCCAAAAAGACACGGATGCACGGGCACCAGTGGGAAAATGGCCCATCTTCTATCGATTTCGGCTGTAGCGTGCTTGCACTCCGCTCAGGCCCCGCTCCAACGCGGTACGGTGCGCAGTCTGTGTCGGCTCTGGGAGGCCAAAAACTATGCACCATACCATTCCTGGGCGGTGGTGCTGTGGACAAACAAGAAGCTGCAAAAATGAAAAGACACGGGTCTTGCGCATGATGGCATAGCGACCTTATGCGGTGGTTTGGGCGGGCCGCCAGCGCGGCCCGCTACATTGGAAACGAGGGCACTTACGCGCGGCCTTGCGCGGGCAACTTACGCGCGAATGTAGTCGAAGTCTGCCTTCTCTCTTCCGTCGCTCAATTGTCGGAGGTCAACGAGGACCCCCGAAAGCTTTTGTACGTGTATGCGTGTGTGTGTGTGTGCCGTTTTTCGCTATTCGATGCTCGTGGTCCTTTGCGATCGTCGCCGCCGCCGCTGCGACCGCCGCTGCGACCGCCGCCGCGACCGCCCCCGCCGCCTCGTGGTGGTTCGTAGTCGGTTGGCGATTGTCGTCGCCGCCGCCATGTGCCCGCCGCCGCCGCTGCCTTGCGGTGGTGCTCGTGCTCGAAATCGCGGTCGCAGTCGTCGGATGGGCCCGTGAGAGCTGGCAGGCTCCCAGAGGCCTCGAATTGCCCCAAGAAGGCATCAATGAAGGAGCCCAAGGACACACAAATAAATACACACAAATAACATGATTCCCCATATGTTCCCATATTTCGGTTTTTGTTTGTCTTCCCCCCCCCACTTCCCATATTTTCCAATATTTTCCTGGGAGTCGACGATGAATTTTGTCTGTGTTTTTCCCCACCTGAATCAAGGAGAGCCTGAAGAGAGCCCCAAGATGGCCCGAGCAGGACCCGAGGGCTTCAAATTGGCGATTTCCAAGGACGGAGCGTGCGGAGCACACCCGTGCCCCCCATCTCTGCTTCGCTGCTGTCTCTCACCAGCCACCTGGAGGGAAGGCAGCACATGGGGAGTGGAAAAGGGGCGGTGGTGCTCCCTTTTGCCAGGGAATGAAGAGGCCAAACGGTCTGACACTGTCACTGGGTGCGTGGTCCAAGTGGGGCTCAGAGATACATTCCTGTGGTCCCCCTCTGGCTCTTCCTCGCTTTCTTCCCCCCCCCCTCCCCCGTCATTCTCCCTGTCCTCCCATACGTGGAGAGGGCTGCGTACGCCGCGCCTCTCGCTCGCTCGGCTGCTCAAGCGAGGGAGCGAGCAGATGGCCGCTCGAACGCTCGCTCGCAAGCTCGATCGAGCGAGCGGCCGGCGAGCGCGGCGGCAGGGGGTGGTCGAGCGAGCGAGCGAGCGAGCAAGCGACCGACCGATCGATTGCTTGCTCGTTCCGTCGCTCGCTCGAGCGGGCGGGCCGGCGAGCGCGGGGTCGATCGAGAGAGCGAGAGAGCGAAGGGTCGCTCGTTCGGTCGCTCTCGGTCGCTCGCTCGCTTGCGGCCGCGGGCCGGTCTTGCGGATCGGGTCGGTCGGGCGGGCTGGACACTGAATGCATGATACTCGCTCGCCCCCCAGAGCGAGCGAGCGAGGGAGCGAACGAGCGGGGGGGTGGTGGAGGGGAGGGAGCCCTCTCTCTCGTTCGCTCGATCGCTCGCTTGACCGAGCGAACGAGTGAAAGGTCTGGGGTTCGTGAAGGGAGGGGCGGGGACGACGACAACCATCACCCCCGCGACGGCGACGCCCATTACAACCGCGCGGTAGCGACGACCGCCACCACCGCGCGAGGGCGACGACCATCACCATGACGACGACAACGACCACGACCACGACCACGACCACGACCACGACGACGACGACGACGACGACGACGACGACGACGACGGGGGCAACGACGGTGACGCCGACGAAGCCGACGAGCGAAGCGCCGTGGGAGGCCGAGCGGGCAGGCCGAGCCCGAAACCTCGCTCCTCTCGCGGTCGCTGACCCTGCCCGTGTCGTACCTCTTGCGGGGGGGGGTGCTGCTGGACTGCGCAGCAGGGCCGGCCCCTGGCTGACAGCTGCGAGAGGAAGAGTAGGAGGAAGAGTGGAAGGAGGAAGAGTAGGAGGAGGAGGAGGAAAAGTAGGAGGAGGAGGAGGAGAGGAAGAGGAGAAGGAGAAAAAGGATAAGGAGGAGGAAAAGGAGGAGGGGTAGGGAAAGGAGTACGAGTCGGGAGGAGGAGTAATAGAAAAAAGTAGGAGTAGGAGTACGTGAAGGCGTAGGAGTAGTGGTAGTAGTAGTAGTAGTAGTAGTAGTAGTAGTCGTCGTCGTCGTCGTCGTCGTCGTCGTCGTCGTCGTCGTCGTCGTCGTCGTCGTCGTCGTCGTCGTCGTCGTCATAGTAGTAGTAGTAGTAGTAGTAGTAGTAGTAGTAGTCGTCGTCGTCGTCGTCGTCGTCGTCGTCGTCGTCGTCGTCGTCGTCGTCGTCGTCGTCGTCGTCGTCGTCGTCGTCGTCGTCGTCGTCGTCGTAGTAGTAGTAGTAGTTAGTAGTAGTAGTAGTAGTAGTAGTAGTAGTAGTAGTAGTAGTAGTAGTAGTAGTAGTAGTAGTAGTAGTAGTAGTAGTAGTAGTAGTAGTAGTAGTAGTAGTAGTAGTAGTAGTAGTAGTAGTAGTAGTAGTAGTAGTAGTAGTAGTAGTAGTAGTAGTGGTAGTAGTAGTAGTAGTAGTGGTGGTGGTGGTGGTGGTGGTGGTAGTGGTTGTAGTGGTAGGTAGTAGGTAGTAGGTAGTAGGTAGCAAATAATGGGTAGGTAGGTAGGTAGGTAGGTACGCAGGTAGGTAGATTGGGTAGGTAGGTAGTAGTAGTAGTAGCAGCAGTAGTAGTAGTAGTAACAGCAGGAGTAGTAGTAGTAGTAGTAGTAGTAGTAGTAGTAGTAGTAGTAGTAGTAATAGTAGTAGTCGTAGTAGTAGTAGTAGTAGTAGTAGTAGTAGTAGTAGTAGTACTAGTAGTAAAAGTAATAGTAGAAGTAGTAGAAGTAGTAGAAGTAGTAGTAGTAGTAGTAGTAGTAGTAGTAGTAGTAGTAGTAGTAGTAGTAGTAGTAGTAGTAGTAGTAGTAGTAGTAGTAGTAGTAGTAGTAGTAGTAGTAGTAGTAGTAGTAGTAGTAGTAGTAGTAGTAGTAGTAGTAGTAGTAGTAGTAGTAGTAGTAGTAGTAGTAGTAGTAGTAGTAGTAGTAGTATAATAGAAATTCGCCGGCCCAACGGGCCAGAGGCGTGCTAAGATCTCCGGTAACAGCAAAATAATACTTCTACTTCGCGCGCGCGGGGCTGCCCCAGGGGGTCCCCGGACGAAAAGTACCCCGGGCGATCTCCGGCAGGGTCGGATCAGAGATGGTTTTCCTCCTGGGCGCCGCCCCCGTGGCCCTCCAGAGAGCCCCAAGAAGGGCCACGAGGCCGCCAAGAGCCCTCCAAGATGGTTCAAGAGTGTTCCGAGATGCCACACGATCGTTCCAAGACGCCCAAGGTGGCCCCCAGACGCCCCAAGAGGCCTCCAAGAGCACTCCCCAGAGGGCCCCAAGAGGCAAAATCCCACCAGCCCTCTGGGGCGTCGGTGGTTTAGGGCGTTTCCTCTTCCACCCCTCCCTCTTCCCCTTCGGGGAGGGGTTTACCCCTCCACAATTACTCAATATGAAAATACTCTCCCTCTTCCCCTGATGGCGTCCGGGTGATGGCCGCGCACCCTCCGCGTACTGTTTTTTTACACACAGGATTCCCGGGAAATCCCGGGAAACGACTCTCGCTGAGGCGCCGGCGTCATTTTTTCCCATGCACGTGGCGCGGGAGAACATGACGTAGAGGTGCAGCCACCACTGCTCGTCCGACATGCCCGTGCGGCCAGCGCCCTCGTCTCTCGCGCAGTCGATGGTGACGCCAGCGTCTGGCCCTGCGACAGCGTGGAGGTCAGGTAGGACGCGTGCGTCAGGGTGAACCCCGAGCGGCGCACGCTGTGCGCCCCCGAGCTCTGCCATGTGAACTCCCTTTCGCTGGGCCTGAACATCAGCAAGCTCCGCGCTCGCGCCTCGGCCTGGCCGTCGTCGTCGGCGCCTTCGGCGCCCTGTCGCAGCACCTCGGCGACCTCCTGGTAGATCGGAGACTCCTTGAAGCCGTGCACCTGCAGCCAGATTCCCTGCGGTAGGAAGCGGGGGCGAAAGAGCTGGCCTGCCGAGCACTCCTCGTAGCGCTGCTCGTCCTCGTGGTGGAACTCGAAGGACACGATGGTGGCCCGCTGCTCCTGCACGAGCCCCAACTTCTTCTTCAGCTCCTCCTGCGCTGCCGTGAACCGCACCTCCATGCCGACGTGGGCCGGCAAAACGCCGTGGATGTCCCCCGTCTTGTGCATGTTCGGGGCGTTCGGGAGGCGCCGACCCGCGTCGGGCTCGCCCTGAATCGTGCCGCACTCGTCAACGGCCCGCAGGAAAACAAGGGGCACGCCCAGACGAGGCTCCCGCCTGAGACTTCCTCCAAATTCAGGCTTGAGGAGCCCAAAAGTGACGACAGTTACAGGATTCCGATGACCCGCTCGGATTACCAACATAATCTGCGGGCCCCATAGGGAGGGAGCTCCCGCCTGAGACTTCCTCCCAATTCACTCAGAGACGAGGCTCCCGCCTGAGACTTCCTCCAAATTCAGGCCTGGGGAGCTCAAAAGTGACGACAATTACAGGATTCCGATGACCCGCTCGGATTACCAACATTATCTGCGGGCCCCATAGGGAGGGGGCTCCCGCCTGAGCCTTCCTCAGAATTCACTCACGAACGAGGCTCCCGCCTGAGACTTCCTCCAAATTCAAGTTTGAGGAGCCCAAAAAAGTGACGACAGTTACAGGATTCCGATGACCCGCTCGGATTACCAACGTGATCCGCGGGCCCCATAGGGAGGGAGCTCCCGCCTGAGACTTCCTCCCAATTCACTCAGAGACGAGGCTCCCGCCTGAGACTTCCTCCATTTTCAGGCCTGGGGAGTTCAAAAGTTACGACAGTTACAGGATTCCGATGACCCGCTCGGATTACCAACATGATCTGCGGGCCCCATAGGGAGGGGGCTCCCGCCTGAGACTTCCTCACAATTTACTCAACGATGATGAGGATGAGGATGATGAGTGGTGGTGAAGATGAGTGGTGAAGAGGATGATGATTGATTGTGAGTGGTGGTGGCGATGATGATGTTTGAATGAGGATGATGCCGATGATGATGATGATGATGATGATGATGATGTTCGTGAGCGTGTGAGAGAGTGCGAGTGATGATGATGATGATGAGTATGTGAGTGACTAAGCATGTGAGAGAGCATCATCGATGATGCTGATGAGGTTGATGATGAGAGAGTGTGAGTGAGTGTGAGTGGGTGTGTGTGTGTGTGTTCCTGTTCCTGCGCGGGGTGTCCAGAGAAAACAAGAACCCCACTTTGGATGTGAGGAACGAACAATGCTCTTATTGAGCGCCGTGGGTGTAGTAGTGGCAGTAGTAGTAGTCGTAGTCGTAGTCGTAGTAGTAATAATAGTAGTAGTAGTAGTAGTAGTAGTAGTAGTAGTAGTAGTAGTAGTAGTAGTAGTAGTAGTAGTAGTAGTAGTAGTAGTAGTAGTAGTAGTAGTAGTAGTAGTAGTAGTAGTAGTAGTAGTAGTAGTAGTAGTAGTAGTAGTAGTAGTAGTAGTAGTAGTAGTAGTAGTAGTAGTAGTAGTAGTAGTAGTAGTAGTAGTAGTAGTAGTAGAGTAGTAGTAGTAGTAGTAGTAGTAGTAGTAGTAGTAGTAGTAGTAGTAGTAGTAGTAGTAGTAGTAGTAGTAGTAGTAGTAGTAGTAGTAGTAGTAGTAGTAGTAGTAGTAGTAGTAGTAGTAGTAGTAGTAGTAGTAGTAGTAGTAGTAGTAGTAGTAGTAGTAGTAGTAGTAGTAGTAGTAGTAGTAGTAGTAGTAGTAGCAGCAGCGACAGGGCCGACGAAGACGAGTTAATCCTAATGCGAGTGAGTGAATATGAAATCACCCGGGTGACTCCAACCTAAGACCCATGGAGGCCCAACCGGAAAGAAAAAAAAATGGGGCGCGCCGAAGAACCCAGGGGGTCCGGTTTCCGCGGAGGAAAGAAAAAAACCCTGGCGATGGGGTTCGAGCACGGGGGTTACCCCCCCCTCAAATTCCGGAAGAGGAATGAACTCCCAGCCGCGGGGGTGCCCGCGCGAGGGGCCCCACCCCCCCAAGCGCAACCAGAGGAAGAAAAGCGTGGGAGCCGAGACTGTAAGTGCAATGCAACAACACCTTAGGGATTTGCATTAGTACGGGATTTGTATTAGTACGGGAACAACTGAATTACAGCCGGTGAGGTTTGGGTTCGGGTTCGGGCTTATATATTGGGAACCCAGTATATTGGAAACGCAATATATTGGAAACTCAATATGTTGGAAACCCACTATATTGGAAACCCAATATATTCGAAACCCAATATTAGAAACCCGACATATTGGAAACCCAAAATATTGGGAACCCAATATATTAGGAACCCAACGAGTTGTACGGTAGTCGGGGGGTTCAGGGGTTCCAACGGCAACGCGCGCGGGGAAGAAGGAACAAAATCCATGCGCCGCCAGGGGTCCCGGGTTTAACGGGTCGCCGCGAAGGTTGACCCCCCGCGGAAAGAAGAAAAGAAATCCGGCCGGGGGGTTGGGGGGGTGAGGGATGAGTCACGGGGGCGATAATATGAGTCAGAAAGAGCTTTGAATATGATTGGACATGAGCCTCCCAGTCACTCCCCCTCCTCAGCTGCCAGGCCGTGCCCTCCTCAGCCTGCGGTGATGAGCATATGCTTTAGGATCGTTGGCAGTGGGATATGTAAAACGAGCGCTTAGCCACAAAAGGCCATATGTGCATATCATGTTGTAAGATAGTGCCACGCCTCTAGTCCTTCCTCCGCGCGTCCCAGAGGGTACGTGCCGGAGCACGACCCAAAGGACCAGCACGCCTCCACTCTTTCCTCCGTGCGTCCCAGA